TGGTAACATTGTTTCCGAAATACGTATCCGCGACTTTTCATTAATTTTTTGGTGGCTTTGAGTTTAATATTTTTAATATAGATTTAATTTTACTTATATATATATTGAGGGATTGGTTTATTTTGAAAACAATGATTGGTCAAATATACTAAATATTCAGTAATATTCAAAGTACATACATTTTTTCCGACCTGTGTGATGCAAACCTCATAACTGAAGTGTCGAAGTAATAGTTGTTATATCTAAGCAATAATTTGTTACATTTTCCCAATGATAAAAAGAGATATTTAAGCTAGTTTAAACTTACAAAATTGTTTTATTTTCATTTTTCAGTAATTTAAAAAAAAATAAGGAATAAATGTAATTTTCTCCCACTCAGTTTTGTTAAATCATATTTTTTCACAGTGATTATAAATACGAAATAATACAATTTTTGTCAAAAATAAATAAATAGTTTTAACTCATTATAACTTAAGTTATAATGTATGTTCACAGTGTTTCACCAGGTTTTAGCATCTCTTACATCTTTTGACCTTGAGTAAATTTTTCCTTGCTTTTTTCTCAAAAACAAAATTACTCATAAGGACAATTAAAATATAACAATATTAGTAATTTATGTAATTTAACTATATATTTTATTAAAAAATAAATAAACGTATAAAATTTGTTAAAAAAAAATTAAAAATAGTAATTTTGTAAAATAAATTTTAAGAAAATAATTAATAGCAAAATAATGTGTTTGCTTTTCGGTCTTTCTTGTTATTTAATCGATTAAACTAAAAATAAACTACATCACAGGACTCTCAGTGAAATTTCAATACAAATTGATGGGTCACACTATTGTGAAATTTTTTTCCAACTTTGAGCCCAAAGTTCAGGGGAGGGCGCAAAAGTTACAAAAAATCGAGTGACCACTCATTTTGTATGAGAATTTTGCGGGGAATATTGTGGTATGATTTATTTTTAATATTAGAGAAATTCTGGGGGGTTATTCCAAAATTTCTCCAATTTTGGAAAATAAAAAAAAAAAACGAGGTCCTATTTTACACTTTACCAGGATACTCGCCCATATATTACTATGGTTTGAAAGATTTACACCCTGTATAATACTCTATATTTAGCCGCTCACAATACTAATCCCTTTTCAGTAGCTAATATTCTCATTCATCCGTTAAGATTATTTCCATCATATCTTTCGTAAGGTGGCTTTGTTATTTAATCTCTAATTAACTTTTTTTTTCTCTTTCTAATTAAAATTTAAAATGAATATTTTAAATAGTATAAGCGCCAAGTCGCACAAAGTTCATAGGAACGGATAGGTAAAAGGAAACAATGCAGCTCTTTTTTAAGTGTAGTGTACAAAAAACAGAACGCTGATCAGTGAAACTGTAGCAAAATATTTCACTTCAGAAGTGTGTCAAATTCGATCGATTGTTGAAAAGAAACAGAACGTATCATCGGCAATTCACAGTCGCCGAGCAGCCTTGTCTCGGTGTCAAAAGCGAGGAAATGCACGATAACTACCGATCGTCATATTAACATCTGGATATTTGATATTGAAAGAGACACAAATGAGTGCCTGCCTAAAGCAGNGAAAGAGACACAAATGAGTGCCTGCCTAAAGCAGGGCACGGTGTCTTGTCACATTTTGTTGCTGAAAATTAAAAAAAAATTTCTTAATTTTAGAAGGATTTGTCTTAAAATTATAGTACCGTAAAAAACTGCATTTTCAAAAAAAAAAAAAATTTAATGTATATTAAATTAAAGCTTTTGAAGTGTACTTGACAATATTAGTATTATACTATTAAGGATAATGTTACTTTTTCAGAAGTGGACTGTATAAAACGTTCGAAATTACGTTTAATTATCTAATTAATAAGAATCGATATAAACT